CCAATTATTCAATATTCATATATATTTATTCATTTATTCTTCTTGTGGCTTCTCAATTAGATTTCAGATGTTTAAGCAAAGGGGAATAAGTTTTTTTTTTTTTTTTTTCTTTTTTGTTACTATACTACTTTTTATTATTCTTGTCCTTGTCTTTCATTCGTTCGTTTTTTACCAAAAAAAGATATTTACCCCGTATTATATTAGTATTATTATTATTATTATTATTATTATTATTATTCGGTGGAGTCTTGCGTAATTTATTGTTAATTTTTAGCACGACGAAATAGATAACGTATCTAAAAACAAAATTTTTTCTTTTAAGGAGGTAATGTGGGTCAAAATGAAAACATTTTTACAAAATTATTATTATTATTATTATTTAATGGCGAGACGTGTAAAATAAAATTTTATCAAAAAAAAATTTTTTTTTTAAATTAGCAAAACACAGAAAGTTTGGGTAACAACAACAACAAGAAAAAAATTTTCATAAAAAATTATTCATTATAAGCCTTCTTACGTTAGGGGTGTGTAAATGTACGTGAAACCTTTCCCCTCCCCTCCCTCTTCCCCTTTTTTTTGAAAATTTCGCCTTTTTAATTAGTCTAAAAAAAAAATTACCTTGAGGATTTTTTTTTTTTTTCACACGGGGTGTTCCTTCTTACCTGACAAATCATGCAAATTATTTTCAAAATGAAAAATTTAAATAATAATGATAATAGATTTAATATTATTGAATATATTAATTTTGCATTCCTCATGGGTACACACCACACATATCGAGGAAAAAGAGATTTCGAATGGAGGGTATCTTTTAAATTTTTCCTTTTTCCTTTTCTCATGGGTAAAAAAAAAAAATTATCAGATTAATTCAATAATATATAGATAATGGTATAAAGAAGAAGAAACTACTCAAGGGTACATGTTTTTTTTGAGGGGAGGGGAGGAGGGAATCCACGTGTACGCGAACTAAAAATGACCGTTGACGAGTGAGTGCAATTTAATGTTTCTGAGGTCAAATATCCGCGAAGTTCGATTGGTCAATTAAAATTTTAAATTTTTTTTTTTTTTAAAAATTCCAACTGGAGAGAAAAGAAATACTTTGGCAAAACTTGCTTTTTTTCTCCATCTTTCTCTCTCTCTCTCTATCTCTTTCTCTCTTTCTCCGCATGCAAAACAAGTCATTGCGAAATCCCTTGTGGCCATTTTTTTTTTTTTTTTAAACGGAAAATTAAATTTATATAGATATATTTTAGGTTGATTTTGAAAGGCAGTTTATTTAGATTATTAAGTGTGAATTTTAACTTTTTTTTTTTACAGTTAAATTTTAAACAATGAAAAATATAATAATAATAATAATAATAATATGGGCAGGGATCGAAAATTCGTAGTACGAAACGTAATTCGTATTTAGTATTTTTATTGGTTTTTTTTTTTTTAACGACCTGAACATTTTTTCATGTGTAGGCATTAGGTTTTCTATATAGGATCCCTCTTTTATTGAATAATGTTTTTGTTTGGTTGTTTTCCAAACGGGAACTCCTTGAAAACAAAGTATCCCCCCCTATCGGTCGGTCAATTTTTTGTAAATTTCGCGGGTAGTATTCGCCATCAAACACGCACACACACCTGCGTATACTGATTTTCAGATAAGTAATGAGTTCTTCCTCCGCGAAGAAAGATCAATTAGCGGCATGGCATCAAGGTCACGGACGAATTTCAAAACAATTATTTAGGCTGAGTCGATATGGTTTAGGGAAATCCGGCCATGAATAATTCTCCAAAGAGAGAAAGAAGTACACGAGAAGTAAATTCTGCACGTGGCATCCTGTCATGGCGGCAACGAGTTTTTTTTTCTTTATTTATTTCCTTTTCTTTCTTTCTTTCCGTACCAACATTGCGTGGGCACCAAAAGGGTGGAAATCGTAAATTTTAATCATCTTTTTCTTCGATTTTAAAAAGAGTTCGCGGGGAAAGTCTCAACCCTAATACTATTATTATAAAAAAACGTGGAAATAGAATTTAAAAGAGGTACATTCACTCAAAATATATAATAAGTAAATAAGTATTTACATGTTTACCTGATATTTATTAATCAATTTTTTTTTTAAATTCCATCATTTTTTAATTTACTGTAAATATTGACCGGAAAAACATCCTTTCTAAAAAAAAAAAAAAACATATTTTGTTTTTTTTTTTTTTTAATAAAACAAGTTTTTTCTTATTCGAGTTGACAGTTGGGTAATCAAATAATTTTGAACTCCTTTTTAAAATCAGTTAAAACTGCAATTTTTTTAATAAATCCGACCTTAAAAAAAAAAAAAAAAAAAAAGTTGCACAAACTAGTTGGTTACGAACTAGTCTGGCGGTTATAGCCAAATATTTGCGTAACTAACTGTGTTGTATGCATTAGACGACACGTATTTCCGGGTCTTTTTTTATATATATTGTCGTTGTTGTTGTTTGTCGTCGTCGTACAACAACTACTACTACAACTACTGATAAATCCAACTTTCTACTATTTATTATGTATTTTACTTATTTAAAAAGAGAGCAAATTTTAATAATAAAACAACATGTACGCTTGAACTCTCTAAAATTTATGATTTGATTATTGAATTGATGTTGTTATCACGTGGTTTTAGATTTTATTTAAATAATTTAAACGTTAGCAAATTATATTAATAATTCAATCGAACGTCGCATCATTTTTTAATAAATAAATAAAAAATACGGAAATTGTATTTAATTTTTTAAAAAATAAATGTAAAGGGACGGCGTGCGTATATGCACACGCACACACACACACAAAATGAAGGGAAAAAAACTAAAAATCATGCGAAATAACGTTTGCAGGTGACTAAAAAAAAAAAAAAAAAAAAAAAAACTGGCTAAATTTAGTTTTGCGTGTTGTGGGCGTCACCATCGAGTTTTCGTATATCGACCGTTTGTTTGACCTAATCAAATTATTATTATTATTATTATTATTAATATAATAAAACCTTTTTGAAATCTTTTTCACACACACACACACATATATAATTATATATATCCGTATAAATATTATTTAAAAAAAAAAAATGCGTGAAAATTTTTTTTTTTTTTCTATTCAAAGTTTGATAACGAGTCTCGAAAAAAATTTTTTATTTATTTATTTTTATTATCATTATCTATGTTTTTTTTGGGTTTTCCCATTTACTTTATAAAAAATTTTGTAATCCCTCGTAACGATCAAAATTTTTTTTTTTTTTTTTTTTTTACCCTCATCGATCGGTCGAATAACACGAATTTCATTCCGCCATTTTGAATACGAAAAAAAAAATTTTTTTTTTAAAAGATTCGTCTCTACCACCACCATCACCACCACCGCCGCCATTTTATACGACGAAAATCTATTGAAATTGCATAAGAATTTTAACCTTTAGTAAAAAAAAAATCCTGTTTTTTTAACTTAATAATAATAATAATAATAATAAAAAGAAATTTTTTGGTCTCCGTTGTTGTTTTCTTTCGCCATTTTTTTTTTTTTTTTTTTTTTGGACAAAGACCGGTTTACGACAAACAAACAAACGGAAATCAAATTTTTTTTTTTTTTTTTTATTATACAAACTCGTGTTTTTACAACGGCATTGCCATGACGATGATTAAATAAAAAAAATTATTTTTAAAAAAATAACGACGAGGGTTAAAAAAAAAGTATGAAATTATAAAATATCTAAGACCAACGGAAAGGATGTCGTCGTGTTATATAAATGGTAAACCTCCCCTCCTTTCCCTCCACCTCAACCCCCCCAGTTTTGTTTGTTTGTTTGTTTTTCCAAAAATAAATTTTTGCTCCGCCGAAATTATAATTCTTTTAATTTACGTTCAAGCATAATATTTTTAATATTTATAAAAAAAAAAAACCGCCGCCATCTTTTCATTTGAAAATTTTTTATATTATTATTATTATTATTATTGTCTGTTTGTTGTCTCTAAAAAGAAATTATTTAATAATAATAATAATAATTTTTTTCTTTTATAAAAGTAAAAAAAAAAAAATTTTTTTTTTTTTTATTTTTAACTTTCTTCCCTCTTAAAAACCGGAAACAATTTAAATTTATAATTTTTTTTAAAAATGGCGAAAAGCCCAAAATTAATTTTTTTTTGTTGTCATTGACGATTCGTTATGTCGCGCACGCACACACTTAATTTTTTTTTAGGAGTGACGTTCATTTTTCTATGATTTTGATAAAAAAGGTTCAACCTTAACGATTTACTTCCTGCGTGGGTCTCTCAACTTTTTTATTCATCCTCCCGAATTTAAAAAAAAGGTTCCGTGGGAAATGACATTTTTTTTTTTCGTACGTAATGTTCAAACCTTTGAAATAATGCAAATTATGCAGAAGCGAAAAAAAAAGTTAAAGAATAATAATAATAATAATTGTAGATAGAATTGAACGTTTGCGTTCAAGTTAAGAAGAAACCAAAAGGTTTATGTCGAGGGCCTTTGGTTTCTTTGCATGCAAATTAAGGTCATGGGTTATGTAAAACGTTCGAAATCCGGTTTTTTTTTTTTTGGACTTTACAAAAAGGTTTTTTTTTTTTTTTTTAATTTATGATGAGCATCAAAACGAATTTTATTTAAATTAACTGCGTAAATGAAATCCGCGGGTAGGGGTTGACGAAAACAATTTTTTTTTTTTTTTGTTATCAGGGGGTTTTATGCATGTGTGTGTAGAGGGTTGAATGGAAATTTTCGATGAAAGGATTTTTTTTGAATATAATAACCATTATGTTGCCATCAAGAAGTTTCGCGTTTCATAAAAAAAAAAAAAAAATTTACGCCATGTTTTTAATGATGGCTCATAGAGAAATTTATTATCTTTGGGGATTCGATCAAGTTTTTATCAAAATTAATTATTATTATTATTATTATATTTTTGTTTTTAGATAATTTGAAAGTTAGAATAATTATAATCCGTCCAAAAGTGAAAATAAATCAAAAGTGATTACAAATGAAGATGGGAAGTTCTCAACAATACTGTCTAAGGTGGAACAATCATCGTTCTAACCTATTGACAGTTTTCGATCAGCTTCTGCAAAATGAGGCATTCACAGATGTGACTTTGGCCTGCGACGGTGGAACCTCAGTTAAGTGTCACAAAATGGTGCTCGCTGCCTGCAGTCCTTATTTTCAGTGCCTGTTTACCGATTTGCCGTGTCGACACCCCGTTGTCGTATTAAAAGACGTAAAATACAACGACATGAAAGCCATACTCGAATACATGTATCGTGGAGAAGTGAACGTGGCACACGATCAATTGGGGGCATTGCTAAAAGTAGCCGAGGCATTAAAGGTGAAAGGTTTAGTCGAAGAAAACGGTAGGGAAGCGAATAGTTCGAATAATTTTCCGCTTTCGACGACAAAAACTACGACGGATCAGGACAGAAACGACGCGAGTTCTCCTCCGCGAATAGGTACTTCGACCACGTCTATTTCGAGTGTTCCACACTCGAGTGTGTCTCCTCCTCATTCTACACACGGTAACGGTGAAAATTGCTTGTCCAATTCCTATTCAAAGAGTCCTTACATGTACGGTAAAAGTCCGGTCATGGATAGAAGTAGCAGAATGAATTTACCCATGTGGGCGGTGCCTTTACCACATCATCCTTCGCCGGTTCCTCCGCCGAGTCATCCTCACGCTGCTGCCACAGCGGCTGCAGCAATGCTTTCTTCTTGCTACGAAGCTGCCAATTCGGACATGTCTCCATTGAAAAGAAAAAAACTTCAGAGTTTGCTCATGTCTAGAGACACTCCGATTCTGAGAACGGTTTTAGGCCAGGGACAAGTGGATTCTTCGCAGCCGGTTCCGTTGGTTTGTCATCCGGACACACAGGAAAGAATACATTCGAACGGATCTGCCCAGGAAAACGAACGGGTCAGTTAATTATTATTATTATTATTAAAGACACAGAGTAATAAAAAAATATGAGACGATATGATTTGAAATGAGGGTTCGACAGTATTCACGAATAATTAATAATGATAACTTTATCTTCCATAATTCTTCTTCTTCTTCTTCTCATGAGTTTTTTTTTTTTTTTTTTTTAATTGTTTAGTAAGTTACCTCTCCAACTAATTTAAGGTCAACTACTAAATTAGTCTTAATGTTGAGCAATTACACTTTGACCCCCCAATGAAATTTTTGTTAGAAAAAAAACTTTTTTAATAACGGCCTTAGTATCTTATTATTATTATTATTTCACGACAGCATCATACATTTTGTTTATAACAACAACAACAACAACAACAACATCAACAACAACTTTTTTATTTTCTGAATGAATTCCGATAAAATATTTAAATAATAATATTTGAGAATTTAAACAGGGGGGAGTGTGACACCTTTAAACGATAGTTAGTTAAGGGAAGTTTAACAACAATCTTTATAATAATATTAAAAAAAAAAAAAAAAAACGGGGGTGAAATACATTCATTGTGAGAAGTAAGCCGGACACACGACTATAAGGAAAATATTCTTAGATTATTATAATTGCACGTCTAGCCAGCATCCAGACACCCCTTAAACCTCTTAGAGGGTGTCGGCCTTGTGCCTTCATTCAGTTTCTTTTTGTTGTTGTTGTTGTTCAAGTGTGCCCAAACTCCGAGTCAATAAAGTGTTTTTTTTTTTTTTTTTTTCATTCATATTTTTTTAAAGAACTCTTCGACCCGTATTGTTGTTCCCTCCATTTTTTTTTTTTTTCAGAAATAATTTTTTTTTATCGTATTTAAAAAAAAAAATATGTATCAATAATTTAAACTTGTTTCAATTAAATAATTTTTGAGGGTCCATGTTTTTTTCTTCGTGTTTTTTCTCTTCCGTGACTTTATAAATAAATATAAATTGTCCATTAAAATTATTTGCCATTTTATTTATTTATTTTTCATTAAAATTTTAAAAAGGGTTTTTACGTTTGCGTGACTTAAACGTGTGCGCCATCGATTCAAAGAAAAAAAAAAATTTTTTTTTTTTTTCAACCCCAAACGAATCCTTCATATTTTTTTTCTACCATTTACCGTTTTTTCTACATTAAATTCTACATTTTTCGAATCAACAAACCGTCAAATTTAAAAAAACTCATCAAATGTTAATAAAATTTAATTAATTAATTAATAACGTTTAATAAGTTTGCATGGATTAAAAATTTATTTTTACGGTGATTGACTAACTTTTTCTCCATTTTTTTTTTTTTTTAACGGTTGGCTAAACTGAATCGCATAAATAAAAAAACTTTACTTTAATAACTAAAACAGACGATAAGTTAATCCAAAAAAAAAGTTTTTACATTATATCGAGGATCGATATCGATTCGATTAATCGAAATATTTAAATAATCGATAAGTAAAAGGAGGTATATTGTTAAAAATATTAATTATTAAAGGAGGTCATTTTGAAAAAAAAAGAAAATCACTTGGAAAGAAGAATATTTTATGTTATTGTAAAATATTAATGAGGGTTGTTTCTCGTTTAAATTATTCAGCTTAAAAAATATTTCAACCCCAACATTATAATGACATGGAAAAAAAAAAGAAGAAGGGGAAGAAATTCTTGGTTTGCAAAAAAAAGAAGTAGAAGAATATGTCGAAGTATAGTAAATATGGATGGAAGACAAAGAATTAGTGTGTGAGAGAGAGAGAGATAGAGAAACCCTTTTCTTTCTTTCTTTCTTTTAAAATTTTATTTTTTGGGGGAAACTATTTGATTGTATGCATATGGACGTTTGTTAGTTTTCATGCAAGTTTTTTTTTTCCTTCTTTTTCGTTAATAATAACATATCTTAAAAGGTAATATTCAATAAAGAACCGTAAATAATAATAATAATAATAATAATAAATTCAAAAATCATTTTTTGAATATTAAGATTAAGAAAAAAAATGGCGTAAAATGCTCCGTTAAAATTTTTTTTTTTTTTTTATGGCCTTAATTTTTATTTGATACCTTAAATGTATTCATCTCATTTTTTTATAATAACTGGAAATAATAAAAAGCAATTATTATTATTATTATTATTTCACGGGTTCGATTCGAAAACAACAAGTTAGTGAAATTAATAAATTTTTTTGGCCATTTTAAATTTTGTATGCGTTTCGTTCCGTGTTGTGAATTTTAATGTTGTAAAAATTTCTTTAAAATTTTTTTTTGTTTTTTATTTGCGGATTTATGTAGGATAACCGTCACGAATTTTTGAATCTTTTAAATGATTGACATTATTATTTTTCAGAATGTTAAAGTTGAACCTTCTGAAGATGCACCAAGTCCATATACTGATATATCTATGATTGATGACGAAACCAGCCCGAACGACAAGGTTTGTTTTTTTCTCGTTTTTAAAATCAACTTTCGCTTCTTTTTTTTAAAATAATAAATATTGAGGGAAAAAGTCTAACAATAAAATATTCGAATGAAAACCAAAAAAAAAAATTAATTTTAGAATAATAAACCCGCACCGACATCTTCACCACAAGCAGCTTTTCCATCGGATATGAGAAATGTTTCCTCTGGAATAGCAACATACGTGCCTCAACAGAAACCGGAATGGAAAAGATACAAGCAATACACGAGAAACGATATATTAAGTGCAATCGAAGCCGTTAGAACAGGTATGAGCGCTTTGCAAGCAGCTAGAAAATACGGTGTCCCATCTCGCACTCTCTACGACAAAGTCAAAAAACTCGGAATAACTACAAGCAGGCCATTTAAAAGAGGAACAAACGGTGGAAATTCAAATTCATTTCCCTACAACATGAGTTCGGGATTGGGACACGTTTTCGGTGGTGTTTCCGAAAGCGAAGAACCCATGCCGCCCCATCCCGGAGGTACGTTACTCGAACCCATGTTTTTACAACACGCGTTAGAAAGGAGCAAAGGTGAGTTTACGGAAAGGGAAGCACTCATGGCATTGGCATCGGCTCACGCACAGGCATCCGCGGGATCGGGATCCGGATCGAGACATTCTGGAAGCAATAATAATTCATCGCCGGAAAACAACGGAAGATCTCCTAGCCCGAACATGTTATCGATGAAATACATGAGACACGGAAGCATGACACCATCACCCAACAACGACGATCGAATGGACGATGAGGATCAAGTAGAAGATTTATCAATCACGAGAAAAGAAATACATCCTCCTCCTCCCACGGGAAGCGTTATTGTACCCCCGATGAGTTTACTTGCAAAAAAAGCAGAAGAACTGGCTGAATTATCGAGAGAAAGAGATTTATCGAGAATGAGAGAAAGAGAAGAGAGAGAAAGCGAAATGGAAAGAGAAAGAGAACTTGAAAGAGTAAGAGAGATAAAAAGAGAAGCGGATCGAGAATTGGATAGAGAGAGACAAGAAGAAATTGAAAATCATTCATCGGATGATTCTAGAAGAGAATAATAATAATAATAAAATGCAAAACGAATATAATAATATTATTTATCATTTAAAAACGAATATCAGGGAAATACTTGAATAACTCAATTGCCATATCTAGATCATTTGTTACGTAGGTAAAGAAATACTTTCTGTACCTGATTTTTTTTTTTTTTTTTTCACACGTTTGTATTAATTATTGTGTTTTCATTGCCTTCGCGATTGTTGCCATATTTATATATATATATATATTTTTTTTTCGATAATAATAATTTGAGGAAAAGACTGAGGGTCAGGCAATGAAACAATTTCATCATCATATGTTTATTATTATTATTTTTTTTTGGGGGGGTTTTGTTTTTAATGTTGCTGCCACTACACAAACGAAATTATTATTATTATTATTACTAACTTTTTTTGGTTTTTCTTACAAAATTTTGTTTTTTTTTTGTTTTATTATTATTGCGTTACCCAAGTCTTTTCCGACACACACACGCATACCCACACACACACATACCTATACTTATATAAAAAAAAAAAAAAAAAGTAAAATTCAGCTCAATAATATTTATAGTCTCAATAGAAAAAAAAAAAGAAAAGA